AGAGAATTATTATTGACAATCAAAGGACTGAGGTTATCCCCATTGTTTCCAGTAATTAACTAATACGTCTTATTCAGAAATTTTGATCATTTTTACTGTCCTTTAGTGAATGAGTGTTGCATATAAAAATATAATCCTTACTAAAGATTACGTTTTATGCTCCTGGAGGTATCTGAAATTGTTCGCTCTAAATGTATTAGTGTAACACACTTCAACAGTCTTCGTAAAAACACAAAGATGATGAAAATTACACCTTGGAATGAAATCTCTAATGAAAATCACACCATAATTTTCAGTACTCAGTCACTAAATGAATAGAGGATTTCTGAAAATACTGAAAATGACACACATAATGAACATCGAAAATGTTGCATGTAACCTCGCCCCTATTAATTTGTGGTTACTAGTAGTGGATTGTTTGTGCACGATAGAAACATCCAGTGATCAATGTTGTGATTAGGAATAGGCCACTAAGTAAGAATGGTAAACCAGTTGATGAATTAGTTAATCTCTATTTGCTGGAGTGATTGAGATATGTATTATTTTTATCCAACCAAGACCAACCTAGATGAGTGATGTTAGCTAGCGTATGAGTAGAATAGAAAACAGCTGGGGAAGCCCAAACCAAGGAGTGATACAAATCTATGAAGTCATCGACTGATGACCTGAGCCATGTTGGTTGTGGTTGACTCGATTATCGCAATCAATATTTGGAGACCTTGAGTAAAATGGCTCAGAATCAGTCGACTATTTGTCTTACCTTGGGTCGTGAGTTTTGAAATTATCCCATACACTTTAGTCTCGGATTTATTCTTTCTTCTATTATGTTATATTTGCCTAATTGATATTGTTATCACTTCCACTACTCTGGTATTTGCTCTGATAATCCATTGCACATGTGTCAAGTTCTACGTCGTCCATGCCCCGTATTGAGAGGCATAAACTTCCGATTTAATGTCTATGAAATAGTTATAATCTACAATTAGATATCTCAGCTTGAAATTCAGCAGTCGTAACTTAATGATGATAGATATTCGAATAGCTGTTTATGTCATTTGTGATCGAAATAGTTTCACAAGTTATGTTTTTCCATATAGATCTTCCTTGAAAGATGTCATTAAGTCAATCATTTTGAAGCTAAGTAAAATTATATTCATTTCCCTCATGCGTTAGATACTTTTGCTATCTGCATCTACGACCTCCTATGAGGATTGAATCCAGGACCTTCAGGTTTGATATATTGTGACCACCCGTCAGATCACTGTATTTGCAATGTTGTGGAGCCGACTCAGTAGTTTAAAAATTAATCCGTCGTTGCCAGACCTGGAGGCCTTGAGTGAATATGTGCTTTTGATGAGTCCTGCACTAGGACGAAACAGCCATCCAGATCTCCCTGGTTTTCCAGGACTGTTTTAATCAAGGCCAATCAGTGATGCAAACTATGGGAATCTAACAATATCCACAAGACCCTTATACTTAATTTTTTAAAATTTTACTATATTAACGTCTAATTCCAATCATCAAATTTTCTTCAATTCACGCCTGTGTTACTGTTGCTCATTATCAACTGCCTTTATTATTAAATGTAACTGAACTTAAGAGGTCATTGGCTCACTTTATTTCCTTGCTCTTCTCTTTCTAGATTTATGCTCTCCACTCTATAGTAGCACACGATATACCTTCAGTCTGAAAGTTAATTCCTACATATTTTGTATTTCATCAGGGTTAATTTACTTCTAAGGCAACAATTACTGATCTAACTATCTACCGGTTTTAGTTAGTCAGTCTTAGGAAATATAAGACTTCGGATACAATTATGTATCAGTCCAAATTATCAGTATACAGACAAAGAGGAAATGAGACTAAAGAATGAATATACTTTAAAACTTATATTCAACTCAAGATTGTATTACATAGCACTGGTCAATTAAACTGGTAGGTTGGAAAGTAACTAGTGGGATAAATTTGATTTTAATCAGGTTGTTTAGTGTAAAATAAGTCCAGGTTTCGTGCTATTTGACACTTGTCAGCAAGGCGTACTTGAGACCTGGGAGCAGATGATGCTTACTGAGGGAGTTCAACCTTCCACTACCAGTTTCACAGTTTGAGGTATATGACACTGAGTTAATCATACTATGAAAGTGAAAATATTCATTTTAACTAGAATATACCATTTATATAAGCGTTACGTGACATCTCTCATAAATTGAGACAATGTTAGATCTGAGTAAGATGGTACAAAGTCATAAAAAGTATCTAATAAAATTTATGCAACACTACTATGTGTGTGTTCACACTTACGTGTAATGATAATCATCCTTCTCTAGTTTTTAATAAAAGTACAATATCTACCATATTCAAACATTTAAACATTCATTTAGTAGGTTAGTACTGCATATATGAATGGAATTTTTACTAGGGATTTCAATTTGACCATCTAAAGTTATCTACACACAGCTTCTATGAACAGGACCTATATATTCAACATTGAAAAGTAGATACACTACAAATTTACTGATACACATCCTATCTCCATACTTACTTAAATATTGTAATAATGACATGTGATTCTCAATCACAGTTTTTAAAAAAATTTAGTATACAGTTTTGTATTCATTGTTTTAATAGTACCATGCTTCATTGCATAATTCGGAGGCTTTTCTATTGATAATTCATTAGAGTTAATAATAAAATAGAAGATTTGTACGTCAATCTAATCTTTTTTCCGGGACTCGTCAGATCGTTCTGATTGTTTACTAGAATGTCAGTGTTTTTATAAAATATATTCCAAAGTTAGTTAGTCGATGTAGGAGGAATAATGGGAATTGAAGAGAGAGGTTGATTATGAATACAGTGGTATTGAGTGCTGTTAGAGGTATGAGGACGGTTATCACTTCCCGGTTGCCCACACCGTGGAAGGGTTCTTCTGGAGGTACCTGCAAATGGAATTGGATTAGAGGTGGTCTTAATGACCTGAGAGTGTGACCGCAGTGCTCAAGGGACAACTGCTTGAGATCGGTCACACACAACGTTTTTTTGAGTAATTTTCTTGTTAGTTCCGTACTTGTTGAGACCTTACCACCGGAGACGGATATCCATGGGATAAGGCGAGGTGTGCATTTTTAGGGATGTGTAAATTATTCATCTAGAAACTTTGTTGCAAGAGACAGAGAGATTCTCTGGGTCAACTTAAATTTAGCATTTTAACATATGAATTAACATCAGTAAGTAAAAAAACCTCCTTCCTAGTTTGAAACTAATGAATATTAAACACTTAAGACAACGGGAAATTTCAAACCTGTTTAAAAACGTAGTGATTAAATCGACTCAATAGCTCAGTGGACAATATATTTTATTTCGGTGCGATAGATGCCGATTACAAGTCCTAGCATGAACATCGACACTGGGATACAGGTACCTCCAACTGACAGATCCCAAATATAACGAAATGCATTTACTCTGAATTCTACTGTTAGTGACAATCCATATTTACTATGATGTAATCAATTGTTCTACTTTTTTTACATAGTATATTGATGTACACATCTAAATGGATTAAATATTTAGTGAGTGACAAATGTTTATATCGAATAGTAGCCAACATCATATTAGTCTAATTGTAAGTACCGATAGAATTCTCTTAATTAGTTTAAATGATTTGATATCCATTATATGTTTCAGTGTTACGATAGTTTGTGGTAATCATATAGAATCTCTGTTTAACCCAAGTTTCATAACTGAGTTGGACCTCATCAACATGGAAAAGTATCTGCTATTTTTAGAGAAATAATACTTCCAGTAGGATATTGATTTAAATCATGTAATCTGAAGTCAAGATATGTTTGTTAGTGGCTAGATGTATCTGTATCGCAGTATTTATATTCATACAAGGACTCGAATGTAATGCCTTTCACTTCAAACACCCAGAGTTTAATCCAGTTAGTTATTAAGTTAGAATAACTTCTAACTTGTGTATTTTAATTCAAACCCAAACTAATGAATTGATTAGCAAATTTTGACTTTGATCTTTTCCTTACGAAGACTTGATAAGTAACCATTTTGATGATAAATATGTAAATACCCTATACAGTATTCCGAGTATACATTTTCAGCGCTTCCAATGAACGGCTTTAACACCTGAAGAGATAATATTACATAAAATGATATTTTTTATTGGTTTCATTACCTTCGATGTATGGGATATGTGAATATTATTGATTAACGATGCTATGCATTACTTTCAAATGTTCTATAGTCTATCCAAAAAAAAGATATCAACGGTGAGATGGGTGAGATACGTGAACAACTGTAAGATCGGGCGTTGAAATATCAACTAAACGATTAACGTAGTTAGAATACCGTTTCCGTTCTTATTATCCAACCCTAATGCTAACTATCTATTGATAATGTTGATTTGGAGTAGAGTTTGAGGAGTCAAAAGTTTTATAGTGATTCATTTTCATTTATGTATTTTGTTAGTGCTTCTTGATCTTTCTTTTGTACGAAAAGGATCAACTTAAACAACATTGTACAGCATCATTATATTTCGTTCGACATTTTATTATTACAAGTTGGTGGATTATTTTCGGTTATTCGAAGTATTTGAAAAAAGCATACATTTTGGTAACAATCGACCGTATCATAGTTTTCCCAGTATGGATTTATGGAGATTGTTGAGCTCAGATTCATATCATGAATGGATCAATGTTAGATCACCATTGAAAACCTGGAAGCACGAGTTTTGCCTGCAGGATCGTGGATGCGCACTGATCACGAGTCCCATACTGGGACAAAACGGCCGTCCAGTCCTTCCAGGTTTACAATGGTGGTCTAGCATTGATCCATTCATTATATCAATCTAAACATATAATAGTTTCTTAGAACAAAATTAACAAAGTTAACAAAAGGCTTACAATGAAACTATAACTTTTGAAGAACGAAAAACTTATGAAACTGTACTTATGTTGTGAGGTACACATAAAAAGAAACTATTGACTTACTGAATTTGATTTATCAACCATGTCTGCTTGAGATTTTGTATTACAAGAGTTAATAGTAGTGGCATCTCTACGAATGTTATGATTATTGTTCCACTGAGAATTTTCATTATTTCTAAATGAAAGACTATGATTTGATGCTACTGATGATGATGACGACGACGACGAATTGGATGGAGATAATGGTGGTGATTTCGATGAGGTCAATGAGCAATGATCATGTTTAATAGAATTTGAATGGTTACTATGTGTTGATTGCATGCTATCAAAACTGATTGAAGTCTTAGATCTTTGCTCAATTATTAGACATTGACTATTCATATCCGACAATGGATTCAATGCTTCATTTTTCGTTGAACATCTTCCTTGTTGTTGCTGCTGTAAATCCCCATTTATGGAAATATGATTTTGATCTTTTAAAGAAGAATTTCCCCGGTTGTTACTATTGATATTATTATTATTATTATTGGAATTTTCACTTGGTGACCATGATGTATGCTTTATACTACTACTGTTATTACTACCAATACTATCAGTAGTATTATCGTCATCAACTAAAGAATTTATATCAGTTCTTTGTGAATTTTGTTGTTGTTGATTCAATTTTGACGAACGGCTGCCATTGCTTATTGAATTATTGAAACGATTTGAATTTGTACATAAATTTGATGACATTTCAGTAGAAGTACTGGTAGTATTACTAATAGTAGTATTATTGTTACTATTATTATTATTATTATTATTATTATTATTATTATCTATGATTGATAAATGATGATTTTTGTTTAATTGTCGAGCCGATAATTTCTGTCCCGTTCTTTGTTGTCTTTGTTGTTGTTGTTGTTGCTGTGGTTGGGATAGTAAATCACACATCGGCGGAATAAGAGAAAAAAGCTATAGGAAACAATTTTGACAATATGAACGAGTTTCTTCTCGATCTAAAAACTATTTGTGTGTGAAATAATCCAATTGAATGCTAGAAATAAATATGAAAGTAGAAATGACAATGAAAGCAATTAATAAGTCAATTAATCAAATTATTGATGAATGATTACCCTAGGTATCGGAACTTCTCAATCTATATTAAAAACAAGGAAGGATTATATAGCTACTTTGTTCCCATAATAGGAATCGTATATCAGAAATATAAACCGTTAGATATCAAATCTGATCTGAAGGTTGAGGTTTTAACTTGACGCCTTACAGTTCTAGATTTAATCCTTGGTACGATTATTGATTTGAACTGGGGAGTCCTATACTAAAACAGAACTTCTATCTAGTGGTTCCTGGTTGTCAATCGTTGTCTATTCAAAGTCAATCCATGATTACAAACTTACAAACAAACTTTTATTTTCTTATCTAACTTATACCAATAGTTTACTAAATTTTATGTGATGAAGTTTATATCATCAGTCTGATCTGTTTATTTCATTTTAATGAAATGTTTAATCTGGGTTAGATCCCTGCCAAGGTCATCAATACGCACTGTTGAAAATTCTTAAGCTAGATTGGAAAATCTGTCCAATGATTCCTTGTTTTCACTCGGGTTATGACAAAGATAATAATCATTTGCTCACTAGAGACTGAATTCAGGAGATACTCTTGCAGTTCTAGTGAGAGGCCGTTACCAGTGGAGTTCAACCAGATCTGTTGTGAGATATCAACTCACTGATGACAATGGTGTACGGTGGTGCAACTTCGTGGATTAGTTGAAGTTAGACATTAACACCGTTGGGTGCTGATCGGTTCAGTGGTCTAGTTGGTTAAGCGCCTGGCGCGAGACTGATAGACCCTGGGTTCGAACCTCGTGGGGTGCGGGATCGTGGATCCGCACTGCTGAGGTTGAAACGACCGTCCAGTGCTTCCAGGTTTTCCATGGTGATCTAGCTTCAATTGACTCATGATTTCAACCAGTGAAAGATTAATTTATTGCAAATACGATCTATGAATAAAATATTCACGAAAGTATACCTTTCAACAGCTTGAAATTCTATTAGCTTTTTGCTAAACTATTGATATCTTTCTTGACTCAATTTATAATTTTTTAAAAACGTCAAATAATTCTTCATTTATAAACAAATTAAATAAAGAGTTGCCTCGATTCTCTAAACTTTCTATCATTCTTAATTGCATCATATAATTATTAACATTGATAGTATAGACTGCTGAATATTCACACAAATAACTCTCATTGGTGTCTTGATCCCGGGCTTCTACCTAAATGTTATGTGTTACAGCTCATATGTATGTGTGTAGAATCATCAACATATACATTATTAAAGATTGTCTAACTGAAATTGAACAATTGTATCAGTCACTCTGCGAAACACCTCTAGGTATTCCGAAGTCAGGGTAACGAAGTAAAGTTGGTTATAAGGTTAGCAAAACTTATCTCAAGAGATAAAAACCTTGCTACAAAAACGTTAACCAGAAAAAAATCACTTAAATCAATAGTCTGCGGTCTATGTTCTAAGAGGGGGCAATAAGCTTAAGTAAGTAAACAACTTCTGGATGAATATTTACTAAATATATGGTAACTACAATACTTCTCAATGATAATAACCGTTAAACATATTCATTCAAAGTAGGTACTGAAGTTATTAATGTTCGACTAATAGACTAGTGGTTTAAACCTCAGTCCAACTACATTGATTTTGGAGATGGATTAGTAAGAACAAGGAAGACTAGTTCAGAGAATGGTTCGCCTTTCCATGAATTCATTCGTAAATCACAAAAATTACAAAGATATATACTTTTTACCTAGATGATAACCAATATATTTGTTAACAGTTATCATTAGTAGCAAATCACTTAACCTTGTAACCGAGAGAATATAAATAAAAACACGAAAACACGAATTTTAATTTAAGAAATTGAAGACTTATTAGGATCAACAGTATTCATTAGAACGAAACCGATAAAGACAAGATAACTGTAGAAGGTAACGCAATATGATAAGATAAAATGTTAAAGTGGTAACAGAAAGAACTCAGTTATTTTAGGGGCAACATCGATAAAGAAGGCGACAGTGGAAAGGTAAACTATAGGTTAAGACCATGATAATGGAAAACGTCCAGTGAATTTTTTAAAAATATACTTCTGATTTTGCTAGATTTTTAGCGAAACCATAGACAATACTAACAAAACATACAACTAAACATAGTATTGAATATCTTCATAGAAATTTGCATACATTTAAAGCTATAGGGACTTAAGAATAAGTCAATCGACAGACGAACTCTTTATTGAACCAATCTTTCCTGTAATACGTTGATTAAATAACAAATTAGTAATACTAGTCCTTATATATATATATATATATATATATATATATATATATATATATAATGTTGTATCTCAACGTTAATTATTTAACCTCAAAACTCCACCTTGAGCCCCTCTGGGGCTACTACCGATCCCAAGCCAGGATCAAGGAGGAGGGTTGGGCTTGGGGTTACCGACCCCATCCCGTAGAATATTAACTCTAAAAATACTCTAACCAGAAAAATATTTAACTATAATGTAAGTGTAAAATAAGTCGCGATTGGAAGTTATGGCTTTAATTATTCGAATCATAAATTGGATTTACTCTTATCAATGTAAATTGCAGATTAATAATAATAATAATAATAATAATAATAATAATAATAATAATAATAACTTACATAATGATAATGAGAAATGAAGTAATTAATGATTGTTACAATTGATCACAAATAATATTTCAAGAAGTGTATATTAATATCACGTTGTAGCACCTTAGTGATTGGATCCAAATTGAAACATTGCACATATATATTTACCCATACATATCTTGACAATCGTCAAATTAGTAACTTAATAAGGTTTATAGTTATAAAAATTGGTGTACATATATATATGTATATATAATCGAAAGTAAAAGTATTTCGTTATTATTTATTCCTTACAACAACAACAAAAAATGTAATAATTTGATTTGTGCTTCTGTCAACATATCGAAAATATTTATTCCATGCATACATACATACATACATACATACATACCTGCATACATACATAAATATACAGTAGTTGTATACATACAAATTACCCCTTTCATTTTTTTCTCTATGCATCATTTGCTTACTGGTATATTTATTCATTGAATTTATTATTTAAACCATCTAGTTTAATTCAGATTGGACAAAATTAAAAGGGGTTTGTTAATCACCATCACCATCACCATCATGATCATCATCATCTCCATCGTCATCATTATCAATAGGTCTATTTAAGAATCATTTATGATTTTGTTTTTTGCTTGTAAAAAATATATTTATAACTCCCTCCCCCCATTCCCTATATGTATTAAAAATTCTTTCCAATGGATACATGAAAAATAATTCTTCCAATCATATGTGTATAAAATATAAACACACACACACACACATATATATATATAAATATACACTTATCATTAATGGACAACAGAAAAAAGGTATGGTTATAAACACACATAGACACACAAATTTGTTTGTGTGTATCTATGATATGATAGTTTAATGTTTTTCAACTCCTTTTCTAGTTGATATTTCAATTTTTTCGAAATAAAACAAAAAAAAAAGAAAGAAATCCTAGTTAACAACGTTTTTTTTCTTCTCTCGATTGCCTCTTCATCGCCTGTATTACTTACTGTCTTATCACATTAAATAGATTGATATACCCATTTTTGTTCACTTTATTAGTAAGAGGGAAATTTCTACCTAAAAATATGTCTGTATATGCATATGTGTGGTCATTAGTATAAAAGGGAGAGAGAGAGAGAGAGAGCGGAAGAGAAATTGTTAGTTAAATAGTTGCGCTAGCTAATGAATTAAATGGAACATTTATGGTGAACATTAAAACAAGAATGAGATTGATTCTTTTAATTGAATTATGGAAACTGTTAAATCTTTATAGAATTTATCACTGATTAATCTTAATTACACAACCGATCAAAGATAGGAAGCACTGGATTTGATGTTTCATCTTGAGTTCAAACTTTTATGGTGGTAGATCGTGAACATACACTGCTAAAAGAGGTTACTTACTAAGATGAAACAACTGTCCAGTGCTCCTGGTTTCAGTAATCAACTAACTAAGCTAATCGTCAATAATCCAACCTATGAACATAAAACTATACCCTATATTATTATTCTTTCCCTTTCAACAATACATACATAAACACAGAGTGATTGACAAAATTACAACTATTAACCTTTTCGTTATATTTAACTTTCATTAATATTTTACAAGAATATTTCATGATATATCATTTCATATTCTGAATAGTTTTTTTTCGTCATCATTTTGTCAATCCATACCCCTATCGTGTCAAACCTTTTAAAAATTCTGATTGGATTAAAATTAATCACTATGATAAGAAAACAGAAAACAATAAACATTAAGTAGAAAATTATTTATTCAGAGTGAATATATATATATTCATCAAGTTGTTTTGTTCAAATTCAATATTCAATTTACTATCTATAACAGTATATTACAACATGATAGAATAAAAGTGCTATTCATCATTATATTGGTACTACTAATAAACAATTTTTATAGTAGTATATGACCTCACTTAATATAATTTTTAACTTAAAAACAATGATAATATTTATATGATTAGTTTGACTAGACTAATTTCATGATGACATTTAAATTATTTTAAA